TAAATACACAGAGTAAAGTAAGCATGTGGAAGTATCTTTGCTCCATGTGACAGTCGTACAGCAACCCCAAATATACAGAGTAAAGTAAGCATGTGGAAGTATCTTTACTCCATGTGACAGTTGTACAGCAACTCCACATAAATAAAGCAGTACACAATATATATCATGAACTGTTGATAGTTTCTGTGATTTGATCTTGTAACAGACAGTAATAACACCTAGAGCTAAATGTGATTTCTAGAGAACTTAGCATTATTCTGAATTAGACGTCTAAAAATATTTGAAAATTCTGTAAATATGAAATGCATATTTGGATACCAAAACCATCCTATATCCAACAGTTAATTATTTATTTAACTTCAGGAAATATTCTTTTAATTTAATAAAACAAAAATTGAAGGAAAAAGTATGAAAGTCTTTATACCTGAGGTAGGGTAAGTCTGCCTGTTATATCTCCAACTTGAACTTCTACTAACCAAGCATATTCTAGAGTTTCACTGTCTAGAGGTCGTCCCACATCAGAAAACATAGCATGGCCTCTAACCTGCAAGAGAAACAAGCTACTTATAATGATCAAATATTACTGTTGAAAAATAACATCTTTGATTAAAAAAATACATCTTCTGTGGCAACTTGACTCGCACTGATATTCACACTCAATACAAAACACATTTTCTTATTTTAAAGAATTTGTTAAAATGAAAATATTTCCCACATTTCCTTTTTTAATAGAATGTTTTTGTTTTTTCAATTTATACACAAGGAAAGTTCGTTACCTATAAAAGACAGTATCAAAAAGTTACTAGCCACAACTTCCTTAAAAGGAAGTGACAAAATTTGTACTTACTGACCCCACAAAAACACTAAAGATATACACAATAATAATAATAATAATAAAAATAAAAAAAATTACTTAACAAGTGAATGTTGATAAATCCTTTCATGACTCACGTAAGTGATTCGTTTTTTTTTATGAAAATATCATTAACAATTATGTAAAAAAAAAATTAAGGAAGTAATTTTACACCTGAAGTGCTGCCATTGCCAAATGTCCATCTTTCAGATTTTGTTGACTTTCTTGTCTTTGTACGTTGTCAGTAGCAATAACTACCAAAGGTGACAGCAAAAGCTGTAGCTTTGTCTCTCGATAAGTTTTATGCATTTCAAATCCGAGACGCTCGAGATAGAGGGATGGGCAAGGAGGCTCATCTTTGGTACAGTTCTAAAGAGGTGAAGCAGTAATAACTTTATTAACCACCAAAGCATACAATAAGTTTAATATAAAAATCTTTTATCGCTATAGTGGATAATTTACTGTAATAGATAAAATAACGTTTGGAATGTAGGTATTTTTCAGTTCAGTTTTATCTCAAAAGTGATAAACTAATCAGCTAAAGAAGCAATCTAAAATCAGATCATTCCCTCAAGACAAACTCAAATCATTCCCTCATGATGAAAAATAAGAAAATATAATAAAACCCGTAATTATTAAGTTTCGGATACTAAACTACGAGTTATATAAAAATATATATATAATAATAATTTACTTATGCATAGAAAAAAGAAATTTTTTATAACAAGTGCAATAATAAACTATTCTTATAAATTAATGAATAAAAACTCTACAAATCACCTTCATCAGATGACCTTGAATGTCATGAAGGGTGATGGATACAGTGACTTCAAAAGGACGATAGTTACGAGTATCAAATTCTTTTTTATAAATTTCTCCATCACCTTCAGTAGTGCTGGCCTCTGGTTTTTCTTGCTGTAACCCAATCACTAAGTCAAAATCATGAAATTGCTGAGATTCTCCTAGGTAGTTCTCCTTGAAATAAAAAAGTGACAAGTTAAACTTTGGAACATTTTCTAGACATTAAAACAAGCTTTTATATACCTGAAATTAGATTGGAAATGACATTCAAAGTCTAGTGAATGCCACTTAGGCCTAAGATCCATGGAGAATTCATATTTTAATTGTTTATCACAATAGAGAAAAAAAAACAAGTTCCTTATCATTACAACTCTAAAGACAGAAGGATCAACCAGGATCTGATTCTGCAAACACAACAGACTAGTAGAATAATAATGGCTGGAGACGGCTTGAATGGGTAATGAAGGAAAACTTTAATATAACAGCAAATGTACAACGTTTCGACA